GGAGGAGGAGGAGGAGGAGGAGGAGGAGGAGGAAGAAGCTCAGGAGTCAGAGAGATGCTGCAGTGATGCTAATCATTTCTGAGGTTGGAAGTTTTCTCCTCAATAAGAAGAAAAACTCAGAGAAATCACTTTTTATTATAAATCCAGAGTAGCTTGAAGCTGTAAGTAGCAATTGGCTATGAGGTAAAAGTATCAAAATGCTAGCTAAGAAGCATAAATGTAAAATTAGCATAAACTAAGCTTAAAAACTAAAAGTAATCAAAACTCTGGATTAAGCTAAAATGTCAAAAGGCTAATTAAATGCTAATGTAGCATGAAAGCTAAGGTAAAAATAATATAATTGAAAGTAGCAAAAAATAATGGCTAAAATAAGCATGAAAAGATTAACTAAAAGCTAAATGATACATAATGGTTCACATAAAAGCTAAAAGTGTCAATTAGCTAACCAAGAGATAATAGTAGAAGACCAGCTGAAGTAGCAGAACGATGTGAGAACTGATAAATCATGGTCTGCAGAAGTTAGATCGTATTAAATAAACAGAAAATAACGCTGACTCAGCATAAAGTTGGTTCATCTTAATGATAAACTCTGCAGTAATGTGGTGGTGCATTTGTCTGCAACATTCCATGTTTGCGTGTTTTCTGTATGTGGGACCTTTTGTGTGTGCAGCATACATTGTGTGTGTGTGTGTGTGTGTGTGTGTGTGTGTGTGTGTGTGTGTGTGTGTTCCTGCAGGTCTGCCTGGTGCTGACGGTTTGCCGGGTCACAATGGGACTGATGGGATCCCGGGACTGGACGGAGCCCCCGGGGCTGATGGGAAACGAGGGAAAAGAGGTAGAGAAAAACCATCCCTCCATTATTCCTCCTCTGCTCAGTCTTTTCTGACCCGCTGGGCCTTTAGAACCTCTGAGGACAGCAGCACTTACTGTAAGTATGTCAGCTGCATCCTGACTGAAACAGGAAGAGGAAACGCCTCATTTTCCCTCCATGTTTTCTTCTTCTGTGGTTTGATGCTTCAGTTTAATGAACTGAAAATGTCTCGTGTTAAAAAAGGGGAGTCGTTCATGCGTTCACCAGTGGGACATAAACTCATGATGTCATCAACAGGACCACCGGGGGAGAAGGGGGAACCGGGAGAACAGGGAGAGCGTGGAGAGCCTGGTCCTCCAGGAGCAATGTCCCAACCTTCTAATGACATCATCATCGAGGGCAAGAAGACTTTACCTGATGTGAACCCTTCCAGTTTTAATAAACAGCTTTCATTTCAAAGGTTTTTCTTCTTCAGGTCCACCTGGTCCACCGGGACCTCCAGGATCAGTAGGGCCTCCAGGACCTCCTGGACCTCAAGGGCCCCCCAGGACACGGCACCACAGACCCCACCTTCAGGCTGCTCACAGTCTGGGTAAGGTTCAGCCATGAGTCGCTGGTTGTTGTTCCAGCTCTCATGAAAACGTTTTGTTTGTGAAAATGAACCAAATTAAATAAACGTTGTCGTCCAGCAGGTTTGTTACACACTGTTCCAAACGATGAAACCACACCTCTGAACCTGCAGGAGCTGCCTCACAACAACAACGGTGAGGTTCTGTCCAACACTGAGACCACTGTTGGTACAGGTAAACAGGTAAACATGTCAGCAGGTAAACAGGTAAACATATCATCAGTTAAACAAGTAAACATGTAAACAAGTAAACAGGTAAACATGTCAGCAGGTAAACAGGTCAGCAGGTAAGCAAGTAAACATGTCAGCAGGTAAACAGGTAAACATATCATCAGTTAAACAAGTAAACATGTAAACAAGTAAACAGGTAAACAGGTCAGCAGGTAAACAAGTAAACAGGTAAGCAAGTAAACATGTCAGCAGGTAAACAGGTAAACATATCATCAGTTAAACAAGTAAACATGTAAACAAGTAAACAGGT